CCCCCCCCCCCCCCCCCCCCCCCCCCATTTTTACCCTGCCTTCCTTAGCGACTGACCTTTATTTGTTTGTATTTTAACACCTGCTTTTATATGATAATTTACAGTAATTGTATTTAGCCATGTAGATAAATTGATTTGATTTCTTCAGCTTTTAAATGATCTGTTGCTGGTTTTTCCGCTGCCACCACAATACAACGGAGGTCAATAAAATATTGTTTGTGGTGGCGAAAACATTTAGCAACAGAATCAGTGCCATGGTTACTCAGGATAATAAACAGACCTCACAGTGAACAGACCTCAGAACTACTCTCTACTATATGTGTATATATTAGTGCTGGGCAACGATTACAATTTTTAATCACGATTAATCGCATGATTCTTTTGCGATTAATCGCATTGTTATGCGCAAAATTCAATAATGAATTCAAAAGTAGGGTATTGCGCACTTTTATTTTAAAAGTACTGCTATATGAACAAAAGTGCAATAATATTTGGTTTGCAAACACTTTAAACAAATAAGGTGCTTTTTAACAGCAGTATTCCCTTTACACAGTAGCAGTTATACAGTTATAATGATTCTGATAATAGATATTCAGCCGGTGTTCACAACTTTATTTTCATGTGTGTAATAGATGCAATTTAAATATACACCTTGAAAACTGCAAACCTATCTACTTCTTTTTTTATGTTTGTTAAATTCTCAGTAGTGATAACTAAATGATGCTTATTATACTTATTACAAACAAAAACACTTTAAAAACTCGACAATATGTATTTTAATATTGTCACTGTTGTAAATTTGTTTGATTGCATCATTTACTTTTATTGTGAAGAGCATGAAAACGGAAGTGCTTTTACTTTGGAAGAGACAGGAAGTAGAATGGTACGTGTTCTTGACGCTAACAATGTTGATACATAGAAAACCACATGTCGGGTGCAAGAGCGCGTTGTGTTCACTGTAACACTGTAATACTGCAGTTCAGACAGTAAAGTATTCCGTTCAAACAAGACGTGTCTTGGTCCTCACTAGAAGCTCCACTTCGTAACAGTCACGTTTGATCCTGTAACGAGACGATCGCGCTCGCGTGTGTGTGTTTGTGTGTTTGTGTTTGTGAGACAAGAGTGAATGACGGTGGCGGAGTGTAGGAGGGGTTCTGGACCCAGGGGGGAGGAAGTGAAGCTGTTCACTGCTTGCTGCCTGGTTCTTGTGTTAAAATAATAATATAATTGTCGGCGTTAATTAATTAATGCGTTAACGCAATAATAACACGTTAACTTGCCCAGCACTAATATATATATACACACACACACACACACACAATATATATGGATTTTTGTACATGTGCTGTATTTGTGTATTAATGTGTAGATTGAAATATATCCCATATTACTACCTAACCTCAATCGACTCACCTCATCAAACGGAGCACACCTAGATGGACAGAAACGCATACACACACACACACACACACATACAAACAAACACGTATACACACACGCATACAAACATACACACACATATAAACACACACACGCACATACAAACACACACAGACACACACACACACACACTTATATACATTTAGCTGACCTCCGCCTCTCAACCTGTTATTTTCCTCAGTGTCCTTATGTCCCCTTTGCATTCGTCCCTGTCTTACTTTGTATAATTTCTTGGCTTTTGTACTCACTTTTCTACACAATAAATAAAAAAGAACTACTCTCTACCAAAGGAATAGTCCCGAGGAAATCTGGTCAACGTGAGGTCTGTGCATTTTCCAGAATAAAGGTCATTACACACCGGGGGAGTTTTTTTTGATTCGCTTGCCAATATATTTATATATAAGCCTTCACTAAATGACTACTGCTAGCTGTAACCTACCTGAAGTCAGCTGTCAAAGAGTTTGACCATAGAGTATCCCTGATGCATTCCCTCCCAGGTGGGGGTACAGGTGAGCTGTGAGGACCTGTTCCTGGATCGGCATTGGAGGGTTTGTCACGCCTATGCCACCTTTGTTACCCAGCGCAAAAACACAGGACAAAAGGTAAGGCGTGTGCTGTGTGGAAATCATTTTTTAATGACCATTCTGGCTTTTTAAGAAAGTGTGTGATATGCTTGGGCGATGTTGAAATTGATCAGTCTGCATCTGTGTGTGTGTGTGTGTGTGTGTGTAGGTATTGTTTAAGGCTTCCTGACACTAAGGAGACACATTTACTGACATCTATCACAGGTGATCTTGAAGCCTATCGTACCCCACACTGAGAAAGAGCAGGTGGAATACAGCGTGGCCGCTGAGAGACGGAGGGTCAGGATGCTACACGATGACATCATCAAAGATCTACTCTCCCATGGGTCCGTCCTGCAGGGTAGGTTTGATGCACACTGCTGTAGCAGTTTCATCTGATAAAGCGGACACTGCGGTGACTCCAGGGAAGTGAAGAAGAGATTGGTTGCAACGTTCGTACATCGAGGAGCTGAAGTCAATGAGTCGCGGGGGGAGTCGCGGGGTCAAGGCCCGCTGAGGTCAACTTTTGCAGAAAAGATCTTCCTCTAATAAATTCTGATAATAATCTAAATCCTGTTTGGTTTATTTATCACCACAAAAGTTATCTTTTGAATAAATTCAATTCAATTTTATTTGTATAGCCCAATATCACAAATTCTCTTCAGAGAGCATTTCAATATGTACAACAAACAACATCCTCTGTCCTTGGACCCTCACATGTTAGCGCTCTGTCCATGATACAAGACAGATAGTGAGGAAAAGAAGCCCTTCAACTTATTTACCAATTTGGCGTTCTCTCTTCCAAATAATTCAGCCACTAACTATACATTCATGAAATGAAACCCACTCTAGGATCCTCCTTAACCCGGGAATATGCACCAACATTAATGTTTTGTAAAAGTGGTAAATCATAATATAACCAGCTGATGTGGCGTGAGAAACTTTCACTTCTCTCTTCTTACAAAAAATAAAGTGCCTCTCATCTAGATGTTTTTATGGTTAGTTTGAGTCTCACTTCCAGATCAATTACTGTGAGTTTGGTGTCATCTTCCAGATTTATTTAGGCTCTATATTTAAATAGGCCTATTTATGACTTTCTTAGTTTGATGTTCAGTGATCCAAATTCATGTATTTAGGTATTACTACTTTGACTTAGATGTTCAGTTCAACAGTTTCTTTGTCTGTAATAGAGCCACAGATTGTTTATTCAGATCAATAGTTTTTTTCCCTTTTTGTGTGGGGGAGGGGTATCGGCTATTGACTTTTTACTGGTGGTGATTATAATGGTGCTTTTGGTCTTTTATTCTATATTTACTAGTGCTGGGCAAGTTAACGCACTATTATCGCGTTAACGCATTAATTAATTAACGCTGACAATTATTATTTTGCGCGTTAACAAAGTTTTTTTTTTATTATTAAGCGGACATTTTTAACACAAGAACCGGCCGGCCAGCAGCAAGCAGTGAACAGCTGTTTGTGTGGTGTCTCTTCCGTCTCTTCCTGTTTCCTTCACCTACATTCCCCTGGGTCCTAAGTCCCTCCATGTACAGCTTCTTATCACCCTCTATGTACCAACGTACATTTATAACAAATACCACACATATTACGGTAATCAGCGTTGCATATGTGTCTGACCAAAATACCAAAACAATAAATGATTCATTTAAATTATTTATTTAGAATTTTTAAAGTGTTTTTGTTTGGAATTAATTAATCGCAAAAAAATCATGCGATTCAAAATTGTAATCGTTGCCCAGCACTAATATTTACACGATCATTATTGGGAAATTGAGGAATTTAATTCTTAAATAATGTAGAAAGTAGCCTCTCATGACAGACTCTCACATCTCAAGGTGAATGTGGTACAGGACAGGACGGACCACGGCTAGCTGGTTAGTATGCTCATTTCAGCAGATATCTCTGCAACACAATACATGGACGTCTTTGACATCAACACTGTACTCTCGTCACATTCTGTTGATCATGTTAGTTCATGGCCAGACGCTGCACCCTTAAATGTCTACGTCTTCAGTGGGAACCAGTGGGGTTGAGGGCCACAGACAGTAGGGAAGTCAGAAAGTATTGAGAGAAACATGTTGGTTTGGGTCTTTTCATGAGATTGTTAAACATATTTAGAAAACACCAACCATTTCCTACTTGCATTAACTTTCATATGTGTGTGTGTGTGTGTTTCAGCTGACAGCTGGGCAGTAGGCAGTGCAGTGGCAGCAGAGAAGACCAAAGTGGAGAGTGTTGAACTGGTTCTACCACCACATGCTAACCACCAGGTTCTTTATTGATTTATTGTTCTGTCCGCCACCTCATCCAGCTCATGCACTTCATCAAAGTCTTTAGGGGTAAGTTGTCTGTGTCATCATTTCCGTTTGTCTGAATACCAGGTGAATACATTTGGAGGACAGATCATGGCCTGGATGTTGAATGTAGCTACAATTGCTGCCAGGTACAATCTCACACACATTTGAAAATGCTTTATTTGAATGCACCAGGGTTACAGATATAACGGTCTCTGTCATTGTTTTTCTTATGTGCAGTCGTCTCTCTCAGGCTCACCCAACTCTGCGGACCATCGACATGTTCACCTTCAGAGGGCCTTCTCAGGTGGGAGACAGACTGCTGCTGAGGGCTATAGTCAACAACGCCTTCAAAAACAGGTATTAGTGTGTCCAGAATCACCCATAAAGATATGAAAGATGAGATAAGAAAGAACTTGACTGATTTGTGAGAAAGCAGGCCATGCTGACAGCTCAGTGTTAGAAGGGTACAGCAGAGAAAAATAGGTACATAAGTAGAAATGAAACAAAAAGAATGATTCTTTGTGTGCTGCAGCATGGAGGTGGGGGTGCGAGCAGAAGCCGACCAGGAGGAAGGGCCTAACCGACACATAAACTCTGCCTTCATGACCTTCGAGGTGCTCGACGCCCACAGGAAGCCATGTACGTTACCACGGATACGACCCGAACCCTTGGTGAGTCAGCCAACAGAATGAGCTGCTGATGAACACATTAAGATTATTATTGAGAAAGGTGGTACAGAAATAATTATCCTCCATGTTTTAAAAAAAGGCATAGTTGCTTGGCCATCTGCTACCAATCAGATGGAGGCAAAGAACGTCTCCCAGTTATTTTCTAAATCAGGACACCTCACAGTGTAATACTGTGTTAATGCCAGGGCCACTTAGCAAAAACACAGCCTTGTGCCCCAAAGGCGTGAGTTGAAATTTTTCAACTTCTGTGAAAAAATTGCGTGACGCTGCGGCGCGATAGCCTATCAGCGTTGAGATGTTTCTTCTGTCATCACTGACGTCCTGCCGTTGTTGAATCAAGAAATAAATACTGTAGCCGTCTGTGTTCACCCAGAGCTCTATGATACCTCATATCAGTAGAGACCGGACCAAACTATGTGTATAAATGTATGTGTGTGTAAACCATATGGTACAAACAATGAAAAAGCTCATACACACGGGCCAGCACTTTGCCGCGCGACAACCATCGGACTTCTGTGTGGAGCAATAGGGCGTTATGCTCCGCTCCCATTTCCTCACATAAAGATGCAAATATGCAGCTTTTCAGAGGTCTTGTCTTTACAAAGTTAACCATGCGCATGACATCATTCAACACAGGAGCTAGGTCTGCTGGTAAAGTCTTAGCAACGAGCACCTCGCGGTGCAAAAAACAGTGCGTAACAAGAACATCTGGGTGTCTCTCTTTCACTCTGCTAACGAAGCCTTTGATGCGCCCGACCATGGCTGCTGCTCCATCAGTGCAGACACTCGTGCAGTTTTCCCACTGAAGTCCTCCTTGTTCAAGATATTCTGATGTGACCCGAAAAATTTCCTCTCCTGTTGTTTTTTCTGGCAATGCCTTGCAAAATAGGAAGTTGTCTCTGATGGCGTCTTCATCCACAAAACACACATTGGCCAAGAGTTGGGCATGTCCATTGATGTCCGTAGACTCATCAAGTTGCAGTGCAAATTTCCCACTGATGCGTATCTTTTCCAAAACAACACTTTCAATGTCTGCAGACATGTCACCAATACATCTGGCAATTGTGTTATCTGAGAGCAGGACTTTAGCTACTTCGTTAACCGCGTCAGGGCCGAGCATCACGTTCACAATGGCTTTGCAGGCAGGTAATATTAATGTCTCTGCCACAGTGTGTGGGCTTTTTGATTTGGCTACCAGTTCAGCTACTAAGTAGCTAGCTTTGAGAGCTTTCTCAGACACATTTGTGGTTTTCCTCATAAAAGTTACCTGTTTCTCAGTTTGTGAGCGCAGTCGAACAAAATAGTCCCTGTTGTTGTTGAGTGAGGGGTGTTTCGTCTGGAGATGACGTTTCAGCTTGCTTGGGACCATGGCACTGTTTGATAGTTTTTCCCCACACACCAAGCATAACGGAGTCGGTGCAGTCGGATCCCCAGTGAAAGTGAATCCCAACGAAAGATAGCTTTCGCTGTATTGCCTCGAGCTCACAGTTTTTTCTTTTTTTGTACCACCACTCGTACTGGGCTTTTCATCTGGGTCAGAAGGTTGACCAGGGCCCAGATCAGAGTCTACAGTTTTCATTTTGAAATATTTCTCCATTGCCGTTCTTCACTACAACCTCTCCCGCGCATCATTTAATTCTACTATCTTAAATTAACAAGGTCATTATTGCGATACCTACTGCCACCCACTGGCAAGGAAGAGTATTTCATTACTAGGCCAGCCACTATATTGCAGGCTCAGATGCTCAACAATGGCAAATTATTTGCGACAACTAAATGATGTTTTTTTGGACCGATTAAGTGAAATTGGACATTTTCCCACGGCACACCTGGCGATCTCTCACGGCACACTGGTGTCACTGTGAATAGAGCTCGACAATCCACGGAGCTCCTCTGGACTATGTTATGAACCCAGACATGACGGCGTTTAGTTTCACGGGATATCTGGGACTTCCACAACAAATACTGAGCAGAAATAGAGGTTATTTTTTCCATGGTTGATGGTGAACAGTTGAACGGCTTCCAGGGCGATAAGCCACGCCCCCTCTGCGGCGCGATTAACATGGTACGAATAATTTGCGTCATGTTTGGTGTGAACACAGCATAACACGGTCCCTTTTTATTTATCTCTTTGTAGACACTTAAGTAAGTATTTTAACTCTAAGCCACTGACTTTTTCTGTCACGCCCCACTTTGGAGGAAGAAAAATGTTCATGCCCCACCGCCCACAAAAAATAGCTTATTGTGGCTGCAATTCACCTGTTTTGCACTGAATATCTTTCTAAGATAATAACAATAAACTGCAACCTGTGAAAAACTAAACAAAACAAGTTCAAATATTTGTCAATAAAGATATCATATCTTTTCAAAACAACAATAACGTGCAACCTGTGCAAAACTAAACAAAATGCTCCAGATATGTGTCACACATATCTGGAGCATTTTATTTTAAATATGAGCTTTAAAATGTAGCATTCTAAAAGTAAAATAATAGCTGTGATTTAACAGCACGTGGGACTGTTGGGACTGTTAGTACACTGGCTGTGGTCATTACAGTGAACAGTGTGTACAGTGTGATGAGAGGGCATGTGAGCCCTTGTTGCTGTACTTTATCTCCTTGGAGCAGAAGCTACATTTACCATACCCTGCCTTATCAATGTATTTAAAATACTGTGACAGCAGGAAGCTGTACTCACGTCTGTTTAGACCTCCACCTTTATCCAGGCCCAGCTCCACTCACATCTCAGCCCTGCGTCAAGCTGCGCTACAACCAGCCTCCTCTCCCTGAAGCTCTTTGACCTCATCATCTCATCAGTATCTGGGCCTTTCATTCTACTTTGAGTTAAAACAAACAACCTGCAACCAGATCCGCCGGTGTTCTGGTTTAACGTTAACGAGTGACCGCGTGAACTGAACCGGAACACGGGGGGGCTTCATGTTTCATCACGTTACGTTTTTTCCTCCTAAATCGTGATAATGACGAACGTTAACAGTCCACGAAGTTCCGCATGCAGTGGACGTTAACTTAACCCAGCAAGTCTGAATGGTAACGGGACATAACGTAACTTAAACTAACAGAGGGAAAGACGGTGTAGACATCACCTTTTCTCCTCGTCTCACTCCAATCTGAGAAACGCTGGCTGGCCAGTTGACCGCCCCCCCCCCCAAAAAAAAGAACCCTCTACGGATCTACACGATTCACGCGGATGATATATTTTGATTCAAAACGGCGAATTTTGCCGAAAAGCGACAAGTTTGCAGGTATGAATAAAGTTCTTGAAATAAAAAAATTCTGCATTTCCCCCTGCGCCCCACCTGCAATACCGCCGCGCCCCACTAGAGGGGCGCGCCCCACAGTTTGAGAACCACTGGACTAGACGATGTATTTTTTATTTTTTTTTTAAACCAAATTTATTCAAACCAAAATCACACCTGTATTAACGGGGCGGTCTAGCAGCAATCTAAAGGCACCATAAATTACATTGATACAACCGCAATGACACACAATGACATCATATAATATGACATTCGTAGCATTATTCGAAAACTCTATTAAATCTTTGAATGACATTTGGTACAACTCTATTAAAAAAATAAAAATGTCTTCCATGTTCCTGTAGACAACAGGAATATTGCATTCTGCCATGGTCTTCCAGTGTCTTTGTTTGATTTTGGAGCAGTGGAAGTTGTGGGGGCGGCCTTACAAAAAATGTGGAAGTACAATATGTGGCTCGATCAAACGACGAGCAGTGCAAACTACGGCGAAAGTGCTGACAGAGCTAACCGTGTTTACCTGAGGGGGAACCGGGGGGTGGGTGCTACACTCCTGTGACTACGCTGTCGGTTGGGACAACATACCTGTATCAGCTGTAACCACCTTATGAGAGCAGTGCAGAGCGGTAGCTGTGAGACAATCAGTGAGTCACATACACTAACATTACATCAAAGGCACACACAGAGGGAGAGTGACTTCATTCTCAGCTCAGGTAGACATCACTCCACTATATCTTTACATAGATAATAGTCAGTTGCTGCTATTTTAATGCTGAATGGTTGTGCTTGATACTTAAGATCTTCCTCTATGTTTCCCACACACACACTCAAGCTGAAGAAATTTAGTGGGAAAAGTTTCATTTTTCAAACTTAGTTACAAGGCTGTAGGTCTTCACTGTAGGTCTTCACATACTTAAAGTTACTTTAAAAATGAACACGTAAAAATCTAAGTTTTAATAGATTATGGGTCAAGAAATTTGGTCAACACGTCTCTCACTCGTTTCCTCTCGGTTTCGTTGTTGTCTGTTACACAACTTCAGAATAGTGAACAAAAACAGAACAAAATAAGGCTCCGTTTTGTGTCCATGGGATCACAGGTGTCTACGTCATCGTTTTCAAAGGTCCCCGTTTCTGCCTGTCCACAATGCAAAATATATTCGTATTTAAACAAAAATGTAGTAGTGTGGATGTAGTCTTAAATACAGTCCATTTCAGTGTTCACCGATAAACATAAACTGTTGCTACGGTTGTGGACTGATCAGCGGGTATAGAGGCATCAAGACTAAATTGAGACTTATTAAGTTCCTCACAGTAACTTTAAGTTATTCAGTGTGGCTTTGTGGCACAAGGCTGTGCCAAAGCACACTGACTGTAATCCTGCGGGCTTAATAATAATAATAACTAGAAAATTCCGAAAGAAATTTTGACAGTGTGGCTTCTACTGCCCGAAGAAATCGCAATGTATACACACACCAATGTTACCAGTAGTGTCATTCAGGTTCAATTGAGATAGCGCTACTCTCTTTTCTGCATTTTAGATTCATACTCTTGGATTGAATCTTGTATTTGTGGGGCTTTTATTTTGAAAGGGTGGGACTGGGTGGCTGAGAGAGGGGGAGAGGAGACGGAATCATAATGTTTGACACTAAAATGAGAGACTTCATCACAAGCATTCCAGTTACAATTCATTCCGTGGGGCTTTTAATTTG